TTGCTTGGAAGTAATGTTGAAGGATCAAAAGTATGAATTGAATTGCTTAGATTGATAAAAGAATATGTTTGAATGGATATATATAATGTTCTTCAAGCAAAAGAGCCATTGTAGGTGAGTTATTGAAGATATGGATGGATAACTTCCTTCAAAACTGACAAAACTGCAGTTCAAACTGACGACTTATTCGAATAAAATCATATTTATCCGAATAGGTCAGAGCGAAAAACGCAGACTTATTCAAATAAATTAAGGTTTATTCGACTAAATCACTGTAGGATTTGAAGAAATGAGCTTCAGGACTTATTCGAATAAACTGCTATTTATTCGAATAAGACAGAACTGAAAACTCAGACTTATTCGAGTAAAACAAGAGTTATTCGAACAGTTCTCACAGTTTTGAAAATGTTATTTTGCAATTGACTCAAAAACAATTTGAAGGGTTTTTGGAAAACATTTTCAAGGAGGGAAGAACAACTAACATGCCATACACTTTAACAAAAATGCTAAGATCAAAACGAAAACCAAAAACACTATATCTTCACACTTGTCTTGAGATCCAACGCATGATAGTGAAGATCACCATCCAAAGTGCCAAGCCCATGAGATAGTTGTCATTATCAAAACACAAGAGTCAATAATTTCCCCCTTTTTGATAATGACAAACCCAACTTATCAAATGCTTGGGCTTGATTCCAAAAAAGATCCTGTTTTCAACAAATGTAACAAGAGCACACAAGACAAGACAAGTAAAGAGTTTAAAGAAAGAGTTTAGAGTACTTCCCTTACTTCCCCCTTAGTGATTGCACGACAACAAGCACAAGCACCGTACTCTTCCCCCTTTTGTCATAAGCAAAAAGGGTGAAGGACAAAAAAACATTAAGTTTATCAAAACACAAGGGTGAATGGGAGATAGCAAAGTCACATTAAACAAAGACAAAAGAGAAAATGTTAGTTAAATAGTTTAGAAAATAACATGAGTGCCCCATCCACTCATTCGTCATCCATCTCATCTTCCTCATCAGCAGCAACATCATCAGCAACAATTCCCTTAGTCTCTTGATGAGTAGTCGTATCCTGAGAAGATGATGACTCGTGATACATATTATTGGAGTTGTGCCCTGATGGCCAACTGTTTATCGTTATTCTATCATGTATAGGCAGATATAATATGTTTACACATCTCATGTTAATGTAAACAAATATTATATTCCTAGATTTATATTTAAAAGATGTTTATCAGATAATGTTATTCTGCTGATGAGACTAACATCTTGAAATAAATATTTATCTAAATGTCCATAGTCGAGTATTAACGAGAGTGGGATATCGTTAATGCATGTGAGACTAGTGTGTGTTGGATGTTTGAATTAGTCTCATAGTCAATGACGGTGTGTTTGCATCCGCACATGGGCAGATATTATCTAGAGATAATAGGATGCCGGACTGACCCATCCTAAAGATGTTGCTTGAACTTTTAGTTCATGCTCTAAGCATCTTTAGCGCGACCACGAGTGTAACTATCCTTCGACTTGAAGTATTACGTTTTCTGCATATGTGAACCTGCGTACTTTGATGCATCGTCCTAAGCCATATGAAATAAGGATGGTATACAGGCTTTGTTTTGGGTATGCCGCAGCGTGTATTCAGAAACGTAGATTACGTACATAGGATTTGTCACTACTCTTTTTAAAGAGATTAATGTCTTATGGGGCCCACTGATAAGTTATGACTAAGGAAATTGCATGGCCATGTTGAGATGCTTTTATGACGTCTGTTCCTATTAGTCAGATTTGATAAATCAGTGAATGACTTAATGGATACAAGCTGGATTTTATTAATCCCTTGCATTAAGTTTAGACATTGAGACAAAGGGATACAGTTACACGGAGTCTGAGTCGTGGAAAGGTTTTGACGGTGCAAACGTCTTAACTTATAATCTGGGGGCAATAATGTGTTGCTAGATACCGCTTATTGCTTATAGTATTGGTGCAGAGCCAATACTGTGGCCAG